TTTTCGAAGTGCCATTCGGTTCTGACGATTATAGAACATGGTAGCCATTTCCCTCAGTAGGTCCTCCACCGGCATGCTTATGTACTACAACTTCGAATGGAACCACTTCAACGCTTTTCTCTTCAATTTGGTTCCCATCAGGAGTCTCTTATGTGCAAGAGAGTTCATATGTCCTACAAAGAAGCAGAAACTGTTCTTTCCACTTCTGGAAGTCGACGTCGTCACCCTCAAAATCACTCAGCAGATCCTTCAGTGAACTCACGTTGACTTTTTTCGTTGGGTGAGGTGTCTCTGCTCGCGGAGTTTCACTTCGAGGCAAGGCCAGCTCGCGATTGGCTAGCTCCAATTCCCTAGCTAAGAGATCGCGCTCACGATTTAATAGTTCTATCTCTCATTCCACAGTACTGCTACTTAATTGTAAATTATCAATTACGGTGTTTCCTTGTTCAACGTGAGAATGATCCTGCTGAGGAGATGTGGTTTGCTTTATCGTGGTCGTTCTTTCTTCCTGTGAACCACTTGGACCTCCTTGTTTCTCTTTACTTGTATATTCTACCTCTCTGTCGGTTAAATTAATTAACGCACCTTGGGAGGCCTCCGTAAGTTGACTAGCTCGTTTAATCCACCTGTCGTGGGGGTCACTCTCCTGCAATAGCCAAATTATCTCTATCTTCACATCGTAAGTCGCTACACCCAATTCCTTTGCCACTTCCTTAAGGACAGCTACCTTAAATGTAATGGGGTCCAGCTTTGCCCTCACCAGTTTCATCAGGATTCACTCGCGTAGGTTTGGGATGTAGTATAATTCAAGAAAGCAACGATTCAATCATGCGCATTTTTCACTTTGCACCACTTTGAACAAAATTTCCCGGTCTTTACGGTAATTAGCGACATGGCACGTTCACTTTGTGTATTAATTGGGCGTCTTCAAAAATCCGCCATATGCAAATAATTTAATTTGAATTATACAATACACTTTTTCTTCACTAATAGGGGATCAACAGAGAGACACATTTCACAAAATGATTCACAATAATTCACTCCTTAATTCCACAGGAAGATATCTTAAATTTTAACGATCAAGATACATAAAATATCACTCGGTAATTCAGACACGAGGCACGCACCAGAATAAATGTTCAATTGAGTTCTGTGACAAAAAAAAACACTATCTTAACTTAAGTTCAGCCGAAATGTAAGACACATCGGTCCCGTCTCGTGAATTTCGCGTTTTGTAAAAGAATTAATAACCATCTGAAGATCTTTTAAGCATAAAAGCGAGATCACTTTTAATACTTTTGACCACGAAGTAAAACTGAGAACCGACAACAAATTTTCAAAGTTAAAAATTTTCTCCTATCTTTACAATTAAAACTCACTAGCCGATATGGGCAGATAAAAATATCCCCCTGCTAAATTGTAAATGAATAACACAAATTTGTCAGATAAAATAAAGTTTATTAAAATAATTAAAATTGGAGAATGGGTTAAAATAATTGATTCGGCTGACACGTTCCGTCACAGACTAACTATATTCATACCCTTTATACCTAATCATACCTAATGATAATGAATGGGGGCTCCTCACTTCTTACAAATAATTGATCTCAAAACTTAAATTGCAACAACATCCAAAATACTACTAAATAGAATGGAATTTACATTTATTTGGATATGTTCATTATCCTAAATAATATTAACCTTTCTTCATGAGAGGGTTAATTCTTGAAACTTTAAAAATTAAAATTTAAAAAACAAAATAATTCGAAAGAATAATTAGAAATAATTTTCTTTTGAATTAAATTTATTATTTAAATACCAGTTCATTAAATCGATTTCATTTAAATCGCAATTCAGAAAAACTGGCATAGCAAAAGGACCAACCTACCCGTTCCACCTATAAATCCAGAATCAGCAAAATTTCCCACCAGGTGCCCTAAGCCGACCTGTAGAGGCATCTCCAGACCCTAAAATATTGGTCAGTATAGTTATCCAGGTTCCAACTCTATTTGGAACTGCTCGGATTAAAACCCTAAGCAGGGGAGTGCCTCTGGGCCATTTACTGATACCCGACCTGTATAAACGCGTGCGTTCGCGCGTACGGTGAGTTGTTGCATGTTGCTAATCAATTTATATCACTTCTCGACCTTGGAAATACTTTAGACTAATTTTTCCGTGTTCTTAAATAGTTATACTAACCAAAAATAAAAAAAATATTGTTATTTTCGTTTGTTTTGTTGTTTTAAAATTTTAAACTTCTGTTTCAAGATCATAGATTTTTTGAAAGAGAGGCTTATCAGCTTTTCTGGACCAGTGGGCAAAAAACCTTGTTCGTTTCATGTCAGCCAAAAAATGTTCTAGAACATTATTTGATCATCTATGTTTTTAAAATGTTTTATAACATTATTTGGCGGACATGAAATGTTTTTAAAACGAACATGGTTTTTTTCCCACTAGGGAAGATTTATAATTTTAACCCTTAAGCTGTAATCACGGGTCACACGTGTCTTTCGAAAAGTGACCCCCCTTGCTAGCTCGGAGGGGGGAACAGGAGGGTCGGCCAAACTATACCTTAAAAAATTGTACATACTCCCTTAGTACCGAAGGTTTAAGGCGTGAACAGCAGTTACAGGAGCCAATCGAATTTCGAAAAGTGCACGAGTGACCCATGCTTATAGTGAACAGTGACGAAATGTGTAAGGTGAATAATACTATTTTTTACTAAATTCTAGTATTTTTTTTTAATTTTGACTTTTTTTCATCCAACAATTTTTTTTTAGTTCTGATGTTTTTTTATATGATTTTTATTTATTTATTATTATTATTTTTATAAAATAACGTTTTCTTAGGAAATTTTTTTTAACATAATTAAAGATTAAAAAAATAATACAATGTCAATTTATTGTAATTTGTAACGTCAATGAAGATTAAAAAATAATAGGTACAATGTCTATTTATTGTAATTTGTACCTCTTTTACGTACATTGAAAAAACGTGATACCACTTTTAAGCTTTACTTTCCCGTTTGAAATTTTAAACAATATTGATTTTATTAAAAATTATAATTTTTTCAAAGAAATAATTTTTTTCGTGTTCTTATTTCTTTAAAAAAATATATTATTTAAACAAATGAACATTTCAGCAATATAATGATCGGCCCCTACTTTAGGATAGTTAATGCAGTATTATGAACTTTGTCCGATTTTGTAAAGCACATGAAAGTACTTTTTAAAGGGCCGGGCACGAGTGACCCATGGTTACAGTCAACGTAGGTCTAAGACCACCTTACAGTCTAAGAGTTAAATTTATCACTAAGTGAGAACAAATTAATTTTTCTTTTAGGCATTTTTTAACTTTTTAAAATTTATTTGAATTTAATAACGAGAAAATTGTTTTCAGTATTTTTACTGCGAGAATAAATGCGGTACTACCTAATTATCTTTATTATTTCATTCGAAAAGTATACAAACATCAGTAGAACTAAAAACAAAAAATATTTCAATAAAATTTAAGGAATATATTTAGACAAGACTTTCTCGTTTATCCAGGTTCGACTTTATATTGATAAATATAGGATATCAATATTATATTTTTACGACATCCATTTTTTTAATTGACACATCCATATCTTTGGTTGTCGAATCCATAGAAAATTGATGTTCCTTCCAATGAAGGAAATTCATGAACGATATCTTCCAATATTCATGAATATGGACGTCCAAACCATATCATTTTTTTCCGTGTACTTAGTCTAGCTTCGTTTCTTATTATGCAGAATGTTTATGATTTTCCGCATTTTCACGACTTTCCTGCGGGTTTAGAGGAAAATGACAGTTACCACACGATTGCTGAGCTCAAAATTTATGATTCAAAACCACCTTGAAATGTAAAATAAACACGGGATAAAATTCCTGTACCGTACTAAGTGAAAAAAAAGTTGATCGGATCGGGCTGCAACTTGCACATATTTTAGCCGTAGAGGTGGGTACTTTACCCACGAAGTATTGTTAGGTTTTTTCAAAAACTGTCGGAGAGGGAGAGGTTTAATTTTTTTTTAAATTTAAACAGTGCATTTTTGAAGACAAGTAACTTTAAAACAGAAAGAAGAAAAAAAATTTGTCCTATATGTTTTCGAAAGGTTTTTTCCTGCCCTTTCGAATGGTGCAAAAATATTTTCAAACAATTCAAATTTTGACCCTCTTTCGAGACATTAATTAATTAATTAATGTTCATAAAAAATGGAATATTTCACAAATAAATAAAGTTATTGCAATCCTGAAGGTACCAATCAAAAGTTGACATAATTCCGCATCCAACGAGCCCTATATGAAGTACTTTTTGTTAGTGGATTGTTAATAAACAATTGGCTAATATGGCAAGTGTTTATAAAAAATACTCTGAATGCAAAATAGTTTATATAAGGCTCGTTGGATGAGGAATTACGTCAGCTTTCAATTGGTACCTTCAGGATTGCACTAACTTTATTATTTGTGAAATATTTCATTTTTTATAAACATTAATTAATTATTTAATATCTCCAAAATAACAATAAAGGACATCTCAATATTTTTTGTGGTGTAAATACACATTTTTAGCTTTCGAAAAAGAATAAATAAAAAATATAAACAGGACCAAACTTAAAAAAAAGTCAAAAAAATGTTTGATTTTCAAAAACAAGGGTCAAAATTTGAATTTAAAAAAAAAATTGCACCATTCGAAAGAGTAGGAAAAAACTTTTGGAAAACATATAGGACAAATCTGTTTTCTTGTTTCTGTTTAAAAGTTACAAGTCTTCAAAAATTCACTGTTCAAATTAAAAAAAAAATTTAATCCCCTTCCTCTCCGACAGTTTTTGAAAAAACCTAACAATACTTCATGGTTAAAGTACCCACCTCTAGGGCTAAAATATGTGCAAGTTACAGTCCGATCCGATCAACTTTTTTTTCACTTAGTATGCTACAGGAATTTTACCCCACTTTTAATTTAAAAAGATTTACTGATGTAAAATGAACACAATCATACACTTTATTTTTCATTAAATAAATATAAAGAAAACTTATTTCTCTAAAAAATTTTTGTAAATAATAGTAGTTTGATGCTATATTGTGATTTACATTTGTCATTAAAATTTCAAATATAAGCGAATAAAATTGTAGGCATATGTTTGACACATAGATTTGAGGTATTTACGATAAACGACAAAAAGGCTATTATTTCGTAAATTGCAGTTAAAATTATATATAACTTCAATGTACATATGTGTGTCGACATGGTTCAAAGACTAACTTTAAACAGTTAAAATGGTAACTTTTTAACAATAGTTGGTATAATTACATTTAATATTCATTTATAGGTAATCATATATTTGGTAAGTTTACTTTACTACAAAATCTTATAGTAGATTTTTTAAATAAATTTCACGAAGATTAATCTTGAAGAACGTGTACAAAACTTATAGGAAACATTCCACTTCTTTCCGGTGCTCGTTCTAGGACACCCTCCATCCAGTTGTCATCATCAGTTTGTTCGTTTATTATTAAAATTATATCACCTTCACGAAATGATAACTCGTCTTCGTTATCTGCTTCACAGTCATATAAGGCTCGACAACGTCTTAAGCTTCCTAAATTTGACACCATTAGAGGCTGCGAAATGAAAGATAACAATAATTTATTATTAATTGTTAGTATTCATTACAATGATTTACTATTATTATTATTATTATTATTATTATTATTATTATTAACTTCATAATAAACTGAAGGTAGTCGACTTCTTTTTTTGGTACTGTTGTTGAATTGACAGAGAAAGTAAAATGAGGGTGGAGGAAAGTGAGTGAGAGATGAATTCGGGTAACATTTTGAAGTTTCACAAACATATTCCAAGCTATGGAAAGCAATAAAATCAAAAGAAAGAAAAATTTTTGTCGGGGGTTTTTGGGGTCGCTGATTACGAATCAGATGTCAGTTATTCAAAATTTCGGACTGAATATGGCGGACGACTTTTTATAAAGTTATCGAATTCACTTAAAACTCGTTACTACTACTACAAGGTGTCCCCATTTATCCTGAGTTTTCAAATTTTTGGGGTAAATGAGGACAGCTTGTTAACCAAATTAACAAGAATCAAAAATTCAAGTGAATTTCTGTTATGGGAGTCATAAGGAATAAGAAAAAAATTTGGTATAATTTTTAAGTCTGTTTTTTCAAATGCGAAACAAAATACTGAAATGAAAAAAAAGTAAAAATTTCAATTGGTTTATGTAGCAGCTATCCACAAACAACCTTATCTTTATATTCATATGAATGGGATTGTATTTGCAGTTATTTTACGGAAATTTCTAGTTTTTTTCAAAATCAAATGAACCCACGTATTTCTAAATTTTGTAATTTAGAATTAAAATTTGTCATCTACATGGGTCAGCGCCTTGTGATGATTAAAAAAGTAGACAAAAATTCTGTACATCCATTTTATTTTAATGCAACAACGTTTGAAATTTTAAAAAACTTAACTAACTGTATTAAACAAAATATTTTTGATTTAGAAGAGTTATTTGTGCAAAATAATGTAAATATTATTATTCAAACTATTGGACAAATTATGTTTAATAGAAATAGATGTAGAAACCATTGAAAAATTTGTTAAAAGAGAATTTAGTTTACTTAATTTACATTTCTATGTAAATATAAGGAGTTTGAAAATAATGAATAGGTATTAATTAAATTAATATATATGAAATTTATTATTAATTATGAAATTATAATATATGAAATTATTTAATTTTAATGTATCACGTCAATATGTCTAAATTATTTTTTTGCATGTTGATTTTGATAAAGTGATCTTCTTAACATAATTTAAAATAAAAACGGGTAAGTCCACGTCAGAAATATCAGAATCTGCAAGTGGTTCTTCGATTTTAATGATACTTGGTAAAATTATAGCTTAATATAAGAGCAATGTGTAAGTAAAAGGAATTTTTAAAATATCTAAAATTGTAGGAGTTATATCACTTTTAATTTTGATACTGCATTTTTTTCTTTCCTTTATATCTCGGTCAATTTTCAACCGATTTTGATGAATCAAAAACGATTTTTTTCAGAAAATTACGTATTTTCAGAAAATTTTAAAATAAAAATAAAATTTTGTTATCTAAATAGAAAAAAGTAAAAAACAAAATTTCTTTTTGATTCTTTTCAATTTCGACCTCTTTTTTTTAATTTTTTAATAATATTCCTTTTTATTTTATCTTTAATTTTAAAAAAACTTCATCCTGGAGACTTTTTTAGATCTCGTGATATCGTTCTTTAAGTATTATAAGTCTTCATCAATTTGAAAACCGCAGGACTTGCTTAAAAAATTAAAAATTAAAAAAAAGAGGTCCAAATTGAAAAAAAATCAAAAAGAAATTTTGTTTTTTACTTTTTTCTATTTAGATAACAAAATTTTATTTTTATTTTAAAATTTTCTGAAAATACGTAATTTTCTGAAAAAAATCGTTTTTGATTCATCAAAATCGGTTGAAAATTGACCGAGATATAAAGGAAAGAAAAAAATGCAGTATCAAAATTAAAAGTGATATAACTCCTACAATTTTAGATATTTTAAAAATTCCTTTTACTTACACATTGCTCTTATATTAAGCTATAATTTTACCAAGTATCATTAAAATCGAAGAACCACTTGCAGATTCTGATATTTCTGACGTGGACTTACCCAAACAAATGAATTTGACTCTGACGCAGGATTCAAAAAGGTTACATCCTGACTTCATATTCTTTGTTAAATTCATTAAAACGATTTTTTATTTTAATCTTTTTCTTTAAATCTACTGAAAAGCCCATTATAATATTTGGATGGTAGATACTTTATATATATATATATATATATATGGGATAAAATTTTAGTAGCGTACTAAGTAAAAAAAAACTTGATCGGATCAGGCTGTAACTTGCACATAGTTTAGCCCTAGAGGTGAGTACTTTAACCACGAAGTAATGTTAGGTTTTTACAAAAACTCTCGGAAAGGAAAGGGGTAGAATTTTTTTGAAAAAATTTAACAGTGAATATTTGAATACTTGTAACTTTAAAACAGTAAGATGAAAAAAAATTTGACTTATATGTTTTCGAAATGTTTTTTCCTGCTCTTTCGAATGGTGCAAAAATTTTTCAAAAATTCAAATTTTGACCCTTTTTTGAAAATCAAAATTTTTTTTGACTTTTTTTGTTTATTTATTTTTTTTGAAAGTTAAAAATGTGTATTTTCACCACAGAAAATATTAAGATGTCCTTTTTTGTTATTTTTGAGATATTAATTAATTAATTAATATTAATAAAAAATGAAATATTTCACAAATAAATAAAGATTTTGCAATCCTGAAGCTACCAATTGAAAGCTGACGTAATTCCGCATCCAACGACCCCTTTATGAACTATTTTGGATTAGAGGATTTTTTATATACAATTGTCTGCAATTTCAATTGTTTATAAAAAATCCTGTAATCGATAATAGTTCATATAGAGCTCGTTGTATGTGGAATTACGTCAGCTTCAATTGGTAGCTTCAGGATTGCAAAATCTTTATTTATTTGTGAAATATTTCATTTTTTATTAACATTAAGTAATTAAATAATTAATATCTCGAAAAAAAATAAACATCTTAATATTTTCAGTGGTTAAAATACACATTTTAAGCTTTAAAAAAAATAATTAAAAAAAAGACAGAACTTAAAAAAAAGTCAAAAAAATTTCTAATTTTAATGAAAAGGGTCAAAATTGGAATTTTTTGAAAAAAATTTGCACTATTCGAAAGAGCAGGAAAAAACCTTTCGGAAACATATAAGTCAAATTTCTTTTCATCTTTCTGTTTTAAAGTTACAAGTCTTCAAAAAATCACTGTTTAAATTTTTCAAAAAAATTCAACCCCCTCCCTCTCCAACAGTTTTCGAAAAAACCTTACAATAATTCGTGGTTAAAGTACTCACCCTTAGGGACTCGATTCTACCAACGGGAACTACATGGAAAATCTAGCCATTAGATGTTTATTGTTTTCGAATATGGAAAAACTTTGTGCGACGTTTTTCAGACAACGCAATTTTGATGCGTTACGATATTAACCTTTACCTACGTAACAATAATATTAAAATACAATCATTAGTTCATAATCAAATGTCATCCATACGATATTTTAATGTTTTTAAATACTTATGGTATTAAAGTGGGTAAATGGGAAAATCCACGAAACTTTTAACTTTCAAGAAAAATTTTTTTTTTTATTTTCAGGTACATTGATGTCACTTTGTATATACGTTTAAGTACATTTTAGCACTAAAAATTCATATGCGTCATTCATTTTTAGCTCACGCCGTCAATGTTTAACTCTTTAATGGTAATAAATTACATATAAAATTGAAAAATTCAACTTTTTTATTTTTGATTTAAGAGTGGTTTCCAAAGTATTTTCGTCCTCTGAACACGATTCTAGCACCCAAATTTGCTTAGCACGTCAGGATTTTGAGAAAAGAGGAGGTAAAGAATCCAAAAAAGTGTTTTCAGCATATTCTTAAATTAATAAAATTTATTTCACTCAAAATCCTTAAGCGGCGTTTTTGTGTTCAAATATATGTATGAAAATGTTTCGAACACACCATAGATTGACCTGTTTAAAGCAAAAATGCAGTTGTGCCTTTCAAAAATGTATAAATTTAAATGAAATCACGATTTTTATTATCATCTTTAAATTGTTGCCACAGGAATACAATGAATTATATATAAATTAATGAAATTAATTAAATAGTTAATTCTATTATTTAAATTTATTTTCGTTTTTAAGTAATGACAAAGAGCTTGGTAATGAAATAGCTGAGATCAAAGATGCGCCAGCAATCAAAAAAAGAAAGAAAAGTAAAGTTTTTGAGAACGTTTTTGATTTTAAATTTACGGAAAGTAAAGAAAAATTTGCAACATGTAAACTGTGCAAGGAAAAATTAGGTTTGGATACAATAAGCAAAATGAAAGACGGAAATACGACTGGAATCAATAGACATTTCAGAAATCACCACAAAGTTGAATTCGATAAAGCCTTTCTTGAAAGTGCAATCCAAGATTTAAAACAAGTAATATTTCAATATATTTATGTAATGAAGACTTAATTTAAGAAATATAACCATTTTACAATAATGTAGAAATTTGTTAAGTAACAGAAGAGTTTTTATTTTTCACGTATAACATTGCCTTTTAAATTGACTATTTAATACTTAAAGTCAAAATATTTTAAAAATTGTGCTCAAGTAAATTTTAGATTTAACGCAATGTTGTTAATAAAATGTAGCCAACATTGGTTGAACTATTTATAAAACTCTTTAATATTTTTTTAAAAATTTTTATTTAGAAATTTGATCAGAATAAATTCAATGACATCACAGTAGAGTGGATTGCAAGAAAATATAGTTCTGTAAATTTTTTTAACGACGAAGTAACGCAGGAATACTTCAGCTATCTGAACAAAGACGCAAATTTTCCTTTGAGAAATAACCTTTGCACTTTAATTTCTGAAAGATTTTTGGCAATGCAAACAGAAATTATGCAAATTTTGAAAAACAATCCATCGAAAATATCTTTTTCATTGGACGAATGGACTTCCATC